AGAGATTAGATAAGCATCCCAGGTTATTACTACTCTCTCCCACTTAAGTAGGAACATGCGAGTTCAATGAATTATAATTTGAAATGTAAAACACAAGAGGAAGATGGTAAATGGATAATGTGCTCCTGGCACAATTTAAGATAATTTACTTACATCAATCTATCAGTAACTGAGGAGTATTACAGAAAGGAGCCCAAAACAAAAAATACTATAATATTCTACAAAGATCCTGACATGGAGTTTAAGAGAATAACGTCTCCTATAATGTAAGGAACGGTGAAATAAACTAATGGCAAACAGATGTTGAAGTAAAGGATGAAATCAGTAGGTCTACAGCCTCATTATGATTGATACATCAGAAGAGAAGAAATGAAAAAGGGAACAGGACCTAATAGTAAAATGTTTCTTACTAAGATAGGAAAAATGAAAATTCTTTCCCACCAGAATAAGGGAAATAACCATTTTAAAAGAAATGAAAAGGACAGGAGAAGAAAAAGAAGACAGCTACGTAGGTATACTTACGGAATAAACATAGTCTAGAGGACAAAGTGCTAGAACAATAAAATAGTTCTGATAAAGACAGAATTGGCCACTTTGAGGAGAAGGAGAGTTTAACTACTTAAGTAAACTCTACATCCTTAAAGTTCCAATTGTTTAACTGACAAATGTTCTCAGAAAGTGTAATCAGATCTCATTAGAAAAAGGTACCTTCAAATTTATATGCATCTGTATTTCACCCTCACTCTCCACTCCCGACGGCAACAGTTTTGGTTTGTCTGGGTTTTTTTTTTTTTTTTTTTTTGGCCTCTTAAGTTCAGCTTTTATATAAGCAACAAAAGAAATGCTAGTAAATGTTTTATTATCTTGCTACCAATCAAGTCAGATCTCGGAGTAAGGCTATGTAGGTACTGTGTTGTCTTAGTTTCCTAGAGCTGCTATAACACAAACACCACAAATGGGTGGCTTTAACAAACAGAAATTTATTTTCTCAGTTTAGGAGACTCAAAGTACAAATGCAGGGTGCCAGCTCTAGGAGAAGGCTTTCTGTCAGCTCTAGAGGAAGGTCCTTGTCTCTTCTGAGCTTCTGCTCCTGGGCAATCTTTATGTGGCTTGGCATCTCTCTTCCCCCATATCTCCTTCTCTTGCTTGCTTGTTCAATCTCTTTTATATCTCAAAAGAGACTGACTTAAAACACACCCTACACTAATCTTGTATCATCGATATAACAAGGAAAACCCATTCCCAAATGGGATTATAACCACAGGCACAGAGGTTAGGATTTACAACACATATTTTTGGGGCATACAATACAATCCATAATATTCTACCCTTTGGCCCCCCAAAATTTATGTCCTTGCCACATGCAAAATACATTCACCCCATCACATCATTCCAAAAGGCTTAAATCAACTCCAAGTCCAAATTCCATCCTGGGGCAAAATTCCTCTTTATCCGTGAACTGTGAAATCTAGAATACAAATTATCTGCTTCCAAAGTACAACACTGGAAAAGGCACAAGGCAAACATTTCCATTACAAATGGGAGAAATTGGAGGGAAAGAAGAGATAACAGGCACCAAGCCAAGTCCAAATCCAGCAGAACAATTACATTAACTCTCAAGGCTTGAAAATAATCCTCTGCTCTCTGAGACCATCTGGGCAAAATGGTCCCATTCTCCTAGTCCATTTGAGTGGCACCCCCCAAGCCCTGGGAGGTCCTATTATTCTGCCCCTTAGGAATGGCTGCACCATCCCCTCAGCCTCGGGTGGTGACCCCATCCTCTTGGCACACTTTAATGGCAGCTCCACATTCTGCAACCAAGGTGACAAAGATCCAACTCTTTGAAATCTAGAAGACTACAGCCCCCAACCCTTTGAGATCCAGGAGCCCGTGGCCCTACCCTTTGAAACCCTGAGAAGGCCCTCCTTCTCGTGCTCCTTCCAACAGTTCTGCTGATTGCCGAGCTGCTCCAGGGATGGTCCTTTTCTCTTCCTGAAGGACAAGAGACGTAGCTCTTTTGGCCTATTTCCTAGAATTCCAAGAGACAAGACGGCATTCTTTCCTTTCGTTCTTTCTCTGTCTCTTTCTGTCTAAGCTGATGGGTTTTCTGCTGTGGTAGCTGGTTAGATCCATCAGTCACAGGCTTAATTTCTTTAACAAAAGATTGTGTAGCCACGTCCTTGGTGAACATGCTAGCACATGTGTCCTTAGTTTGTACAACGGAATTTTCCAACTCTTTAAGATCTGTTTTCATTTTGCACAATTCATTTTTAAGTCCATCTCTTTCCTCTTGCGTTTTACTATAAGCGGCAAGGAGAAATCACAAGGCCCCTTCAAAATATTGTTTAGAAATCTCATTAGCTAAACATCCAAGTTTATCACTTAAAAGTTCTACCTTCCACCAAACATTTGAACACAATTCAGAAAAGTTCTTTGCCACTATATAAAAAGTATCACCAATCACATGTTCAACATTTCCTTTTAAAGCCTCACCAGAAGCACATTTAACATTCACATTTCTAGCAACTTTCTGATGCTGGTGCCGTATGTATTCTCTAAGACAAAAGAGACTTTATCACTCTCCTCACTTCCTTCTGAGCCCTCATGAGAATTGCCTTTGATGTCCATGATTCTACCTACAGTCTCTTCAAGGCAATCTAGGCTTTTACTATTAGGTACCTTAAAACTCTTCCACCCTCTACCCATTACCCAATTCCAAAACCCCTTCCACATTTTAGGTATCTGTTAGAGCAACATCCCACTCTCAGTACCAAATTCTGTTTTCGTTATCTAGTGCTGCTATAACAGAAATACCACAAATGGGTGGCTTCAACAAACAGAAATTTATTTTTTCACAGTTTAGGTGGCTAGAAGTCCGAATTCAGGTACTGACTCTAGAGGAAGGCTTTCTCTCTCTGTCAGGTCTGGAGGAAGGTCTTTGTCTCTTCTGAGCTCTTCCTCCTGGGCAATCTTCATGTAGATTCGCATCTTTCTTCCCCATCTCTGCTTCTCTTGCTTGCTTGTTTAATCTCTTTTATATCTCAAAAGAGATTTACTAGACATACCCTACATGAATCCTGTCTCATTAACATAACAAAGACAACCCATTCCCAAATGGGATTAAAATCACAGGCATAGAGGTTAGGATTTAAAACACATTTTAGGGGACACAATTCAATCCATAACATGTTATATACCTATTTGGGGAAAATCAGGAAATCAGAACTTTACCCTTGTGGCATAGGAGAAAAGTTGTTTGCTACATAGAATACACACGTTTCAAAGCCTAAGTTTTTGTTTTGTATATGTGTGTGTTAAATGCTCCTTAGGAATGACTCTGAGAGAACTGTAACCAATTCTTATGAGTATACTTTAAAGCAGGGAGAAGCAAATTTTTCCTGCAAAGGGCTTGAGATAGGCTTTGCAGGGCAGATAGTCTCTGTTGCAACTACTCAACTCTGCCGTTGGAGTGCAAAGGCAGCCACAGACAATACATAAATGAATGAGCATGGCTGTAATCCAATAAAATTTTATTTATGGACACTGAAATCTGAATTTCATATAATTTTCACATGTCACAAAGAAGTATTCTTTTTATTATTTTTTCCCAATCACTTGAAAATGTCAAAACCATTTTTAGCTCATGGCCCAGGCAGCAGGCTAGATTTGACCCATGGGCTGTAGTTTACTGGCCCCTGACTTAAAGAAAGGTTCCTGGGTGTCACGAACAGTCTGCACTTGACTATTAATCTAAAGTTTGGCAGTTTGAACTCACCTAGTGGTACCATGGAAGAAAGACCTGGCAACCTGCTTCCATTACGATTACAGCAAGAAAACCCCATGGAGCAGTTCTACTCTGTAACATACGGGGTCTCCATGAGTTGGAAACCGATTCAATAGCAATGGATTTGGTTTTTGGGTTTCGGCCTTACAGAATGCCAAACTTCAAAAAATTATTTTCTGTAGAACAGAGCTCAAATTCACATAAAAAGACCAGACTTAATGGTCTGACAGAGACTGGAGGAACCACTGAAAGTATGGCTCCTGGATGTACTGTTAACCCAGAACTGAAGCCATTCTCGAAGCCCACTCTTCAAAGATCAGACAGGACTGTAAAACAAAAAATAGTACACGTGAGGAATGTGCTTCTTGGTTCAATCAGATATAAGAGACCAAATGGGCAGCTCCTATCCAGAAGCAGGATGAGAAGAGAGTAAGGGATAGGAACTGGTCAAACAGACATACGTAACCCAGGGTGGAAAGGCGGAGTGTGCCGTCACACTGAGGGGGTTGCAACTAATGTCACAAAACAATATGTGCATATATTTCTGAATGGGAAATTAACCTGAGCTGTTAACTTTCCCCTAAAGCACAATAATAAATAAATAGTGACAACCATAAAAAAAAATTTTTTTCATAATACTACATACTAATTTGATGTCTTGTGGCCTTTTTTTATCCTAAGAAACTGGGCTCCCAGTGTCACATGAACATCACCAGAAATAGAGCACTCTGTAGGGACAGACCAAAAAGACTTGCAAGTTTACTTTTAATGAAAGACAAAGAGAGGCACTCTTAGGAAAAGCAAAAGAGGTCTGATGTCAGAAGCGTATCTCCCAATCGTTTGCTTCCAGTATATTTCAAGGTAAAGTGAAAGGCAAGAAAATATGAATGAGAGGGGGAAAAAATATGGTAATACTTCTGCCATAAGCGAAAAATCTGTCAAGCCGTCTAGACATCTGCTGAAGGTGAAGGAGAAAAACATCAACTCTAGTTTACATACACGTATAGTAAACTTGATATGAGACACTATGCAGCACATTGTTAAGCTCAGTGTCATATCTAATCCTCAGAAAGTATCTTTTAAGCCATAGGAAGCTGACAGCTCCCACTGTTCATGCCAGCCATGCTATGAGGCCTACCATTTTCTTCTCACTTGTTTTCTGCTTAAAATAAAATTCACAATTTAAAATACCAGCATACTCGAATTAATATCCTACCTTGCATGTTCCTGAACCCCCACAATCTCCACTTCACTATCTGAAGAGGCGATATTAATTTCTTCATTGAGTGGTGCATTGCCAGCAGATGTTTTGTCACTTGTTAGGAATCCTGGATCCAAATGACCTGAGAGAGAAGGGAGACAAAACAAGCAGCACAATTTGACTTCTTACAAACAGCAGCAACAATTCATTGACAGATTTCTCATCCAGGTTTAGTCACAGACACAGAAACATGCCGCAGCGAAACTGTTACCCAAGTCAAATAATCGCGGGCAGTGTTGTTGTGTCTGCTTTTAAATAAAGTTGTTTTAAAAAAATTAAACAGGATATATGTTCATGGTTAAAAGAATATTCAAACAACATGGGAGTCTGTTAAAGTAAGAACTCAAAGTCTCTCATCTCTCTACTCCTATTCCTTAGGAGAAAAAAACTTCGAATGCTTTGGTAAATATTTATTAAGTATATATAAAATGTCATAATACTCTATGCTTTATTCTGTAACTTTTTTTTGCATTCAACTCCACTCTACTTTTCAATGACCTGCGTAAAAGGTTTAACACCATCTAGACAGCAATGGGATTCTCTACTGTTTATCATTTTAATAGAATAAAATTCTCAACCAGAAAAAACTCAAAGGCATATGAAATAATAATAGAACTAATGATTAATACCATATTTATACTGGGCTGCTCTGTGAAAGATTAGCATTTATTTTCCCTAAAGGAATACAAATTTGGCAAAATCTGACCCAAAGCTACATCTAAAAGAAGGCTAGAGGTAGATCACAAGGTTGGCTCCGTGTAAAACTGAGACAAAACCTGCACATTACTGACAGTTCTCACGAGTCAGAAACAGACCACATAGTCTGGAAAAGCATGACAGTTTGTGGCACTGGCACAGGTAAGGACTTCTTCACAAGGGTCTTTATAAAGCGTATATTATATGATGCAATAAAATACATTCTCCAAAATCACAGAAAATGTGAGCTTCACAAGACTCATTCAATAAAGGCAAATGGCATAGCATCAAAGTATACAGCTCTAAAAGCAATTCTAGCAGGTCAAAATAATTCGGCCTATGTACCCAGCTCATGAATGGATGAATTTCAGAATACCTATAAGTTAAAATGGGATAAACAGAGCTGCAGTGGGTGCAAATTTTCATTTACTCTTTAAAGAATATTTTCAATTACATATATTGTGATGTTACAAAATTATTTCTCCATATTAAAAAACAAACAAACAAACAAAAAAACCTTCATGACACATCATACAAACTAAACCAGTGTAAAGAAAATAAAACTTTACACACAAAACTCTCTTCTCCCTCTCCCTCAGCCCCTTACCTCACTTAACTGCAACGTAGTTCAAGGTCACTGAAAATCTTGTACTTTCATATGCTTGCCAGCTTTTAGTGTAAACCATTTAGAAAGCTACAGACAGCCCCAAACAAAAGGCTTACACAATTTTTACATCCTCTGACCTTGTAATCCTATTCCTGAGAATTTAGCCAAAGGTAATAAAATAAGAAAAATGTTATGGTGTCCGAAGGTAACTACAGTGCTATATAGAAACTTAGGAAAATGTATGGATAACATACAAACTGTCACATATAACACTATAAAAATACGTAAGTGCTGGATAAAAGTTGTGAAAAGTAATCAAGTTTGAATGACTGTAGGTCTTTTTCACAATTCTTTAATATTGTTTTTATTTTTTTCCTTCAATTAAAAATGTTCCACATGAGGAGCGGCCATCTAAGATACTCCACTGGTCTCATCTCTTCGGGAGCAAGGGAGAATGAAGAGAACAGGATACAACGAAAAGATTAGTCCAA